CTTAGGTGTTTTCCTTTACACATGGATATTGGATATAGCTATAACTGGCTTCCCCCGGGGCTTGTTTTATTCCGAAAAAGATGGGAATATATTCAACTCCGGGAACTCTTCGTTGTTGTAGTTGGGTCCTTGGTCTCCCAGCATGGTCAGCATGTCCTGCGAGGATACAAGGAGACAGTTACTGTCTGGACGAGACCACCACGTTGGTAATTCGGCCACGGAGCAGCGTGCCAGAGCGGGCACCGCGCGCCAAGATGGCCCTTCCCTCCCCGGGGCACACGGGGCCGTGCCCAAGGCTGTGGGCTGGCAGGGAATTTACACCAGGAGCAGCGACTCCTCTGAAAACAGGGGCAGCAGCTCAGAGGAACGTGAGCTCTCCCGAGTTACGGCACTTTGTGGGATTGGGGGCGGCTGTTTGGCTTTTTTGTCGTTATTTTTAACCCTTCTGGCTCTAATTAACTCCACTGCGGAGCTGGGAGAGCTTCACGCTGATGCCATGGGACACCAAGTTGGCCCAGTGGAGCTCTGTGCCCTCTGCGTTCCCATCTCAGCTCCATCAGCGACCCACGAGTTTGAGACCTCACCAGACACCACGAATCAACGGGACACGCTCCCGGCGCTTCGGCCAACCGCCCGCGCTCAGGAAGCGAAGACCGCTCGTTCCCACGGGGTTGGCCCACGAGGTTCAAAAACCACCATCTTACTGGGAAGACCTCAGGCTGGCTCGGCTGCGGCTGCTGCACGTGCGGCTCCCCGGACGCCGGGCCGTGGTGCTGTCCTTGCCACTGCGGCCACATCCCCACGCCTTCGGCTGCCCGCGGCGGGAACGGAGCGGGGGTCTGCGCTGCCTCCGTGGCTGTGGAACGGAGAGAAAGTCAGCAAACGATTCCCAGTGCAGCGCTGTGGGTTTTGTGATCCTTTAAAAGGACTGGGAAGGGCACAGCTCGTTTGGTGGTGCCTGCTGGTCACAGGGTGGGGTCCCCCCCCCCCTCCAGGAAAAGCCACGGAACCGTCACATCCATTAAGGCATGCGCCCATATCTAT